TTGTGGCATTCAAGGCAAAAATTTGACCTTAAGACAAAGAGCAGGGTGTCGCAGTGTACAAGTTCTCAGCGTAGCAGTACCATCCAAGCACCACAATGCCAGATCACCACAACGTTGCAATGCTGACCAAGGTGCCAAATCGTCAAAGCGCCACGACGAAGCAATTAATTCAATTACTCTCCTTAAATGGCACGTCGACCAAGGTTGAGCACCGCAACATTGTCTTCATGAGCATCGCAATAGTAATTCAATTTATGAGCGCCACAGCACTACCATTCCGAGCGTCGCGGCGCCAATAACAGTTATTTTTTTATATATAAATTGCATATCTTAATTATTGATAGAAGCTAGCCATATTTATCTCTTATACTTAGTTCTACGCAGGGTCCAGTAGTGAGAGGGGGTGTAAGGAGAGAAGGATTAGAGGGCAAGGAAGTATTGTATTTGTTGTTGTAAGAAGAAATTTGATTTTATCTATCCTTTAAACTCTACTATTGTATTTGTTTTTATCTCTGCAATGAAGTTTTTCATGTTTATATAAATTGCAATGGTACGCTAAATCATTTTCTAGGCTAATGATATGATAAGAATGCATGTACTACATAGAATAGATCTCTAAGTGCTTAAACTTTCTATTGTTACTTCTTGTTCCTTCGAACTTCATTTACTTTGTGTATAGGCCTTGCATAAAATTAAAATATAGTATGGTTTACAACCTCGATGAAGATGTAGTGGAATAATTAGGAGAGACGTAGCGGAAATTTCCAAGCATAAACATATAATGGTTTAGGACTTTAAGATTTTTAAGGAGATAATATAAATGTGGTAAAGTTAGGCTTTGTTAAAGACCCTAACAAACTCGATAAAAATGAGGAGTTACATAAGCTCGGATTCACAGCACCTATTAGGGTGGAACAATCTATGTACACAACATTTCTTTACTGTCATAAGTTAAAGCTCATTTAAACATAGAAGTTATTCTTAGTCACTTTGTAGTGTTCACTTTCAATAGCACCAACCCTTTTTATCCTTTGATAAGATAAATATAGTAACGAGTATAAATGAACCATAAGGATGAATCCCAATGTGAAACCCTAGGTACATCAAAAGTCTAAACTTAAAGATCTATAGGCCAAGTGATGCAGGACTAAATATGCAATCAGAACTTTGTGAGGAATATTGCACGCTTGAATCGTTATTAAGCAATATTAGTTTCAAACTTTATGGAGATTTCAAACGATGAAATAAAACAAGAGTGGGGTGATGTCTATTTAGGCCAAGTCACATACGAAAGCTAAGAACATTTAAAGTAGCAATGATCAAAGTAACATGCGTAATGGAGATTCAACAAAAATCCCTAATCTAACAACGAGATGAGATGCCATGAAGTTATCCACTCAATCATTCTCTTAATCAATAGGGGTCGAGCGGAGAAAGCTAACACAATCCTTTATGACTCAATAAATCCACCATCGAAGGAGATTCGGCGATATAAGGGCGGGAGAGAGTTCACCTGAGCAATAGGGAACCACCTTGCAGATCTTGGGCAGCAAGTACACGTTCGGGATCTTCTAAACAGCATGTTGCAGGTGCTTGATACGCGAAACAGCAACAAGGAAGAAGTCTGGACAGCAAGGGGTTGAATTTTGGGGCTGACCAGCTGGTAGGTAGGTGCAGAAATCAGTTGGACAGCAGTTTACCAACTCACAAAACTTCTGGACAGCAATCCCGTTAGGAAAATTTCAGGTTCTCGTGTTCAGTTTGGAGAAAAGAAAGAGGTCTACGGGATTGAAGGTTCCCTTGCGGTACTCACCCTGCACTTCAAGTAGTTTTGAGTTTTCAGGGGAGATGGACAGTTAGAGAGGGGAGAAGAATGATCAGGCCGGCGGTATGAGGGAGGAAGGCGGTATCATAGGAAAGATTTGATTGCTTACCTCCTCAATAATTTTCAAATAGGGCTAATTCAAATCAGCTCTAATTTGAATTTTCATATGGGCGTAATTTGGGGGCTTGAATGATAATTGATTAAGGCAAGAATTAAGGAGAAATTAATAAGGGGTAGGCCGGCCATGAGAGAGAGGGGGGAATTTGTGTCTAAATTCGTTGTATGTGGTCCACAACATTAATGACGATGGGGAATTAAAATCTGAAATTAATCTCATATTTTATTAGATTGAATTGCTTTCCTAAATGGTTTGGGTTACTTGGAAAGAAATTTGAAATTCAAATCAATTTGATTTGAATTTGAATTCTTCCCAAAATTGCTATGGCCAAATATGTAAGGTATTGAATGGGGGATTTAATGTGGGGATCCAAGGTGAGGAGAGGTGGTGATGCCGGAAGGGTTGGGCTTTAGTGGAAGAGAGGGACGGTGGCATGAAGCGGTGGTGAAATGGGGACAAGGGGCAGCGGGTGGTATGGTCGGCGGTGGGATGGTGGTGTGGGGAATTTCCGTGGAGTAAAGGAGGGGATGGGGAGAGTACGCCGGCGGGGGGAAGGTAAGAGGGAAAAGGATGAGAAAAGAACAGCTATGGAAATCCAAGAGCTCACCGACGGTGGCTGTTGGGTACTACGCTTGGCCTCTCCTAGGCTTCTTCTCTCAAACTTCCTCTCAAGCTCTCTTAAAACAGAAATTTTCATATCATTCTTCATTAACCTTCAAAATAAAACAAGTGGTTTATATATAGCCATACATAGTGAATGAAAACAAAAGACACAATTGCCCCTAGGGCACACATGCGACTAAACCCTTTAAGCAAGGGTATAAACGGAAGAAAGATAACAAAACTCTTAAAACATAAAACTAATACAATGATAATCAAAAATAGATCGGTGTGATCGTGGTCGTCGATCGTCGTCCACGTCTTTGATATACTTTCCATGATCTGATGTCATCATCACCAAGTCGGTAAAATCAGCTAGGTTATATAAGAGAGGTTAACTAAGCTATCTGTTTTTATATTTTCTTGCCTGTAAATGGTCTTTATGATATTTTTTTTGGCTGATTATTATGATTGTTTGCTTACTTTGAGTGTACACTAGAGATACATGATTTTTTTCCTAAGTTTCTTCTAATTGTATGCTTATATATGTGAGGGTCAATCACTAAATATTTCTATACCAATAGAATATTTTCCGACTATAAAACGTGAGACTAAACACAAAACCTAAGTGCCATAACAATATTTTTCAAACTTCCACAAAACCTTTTTTTTGCGTGTTGGATGATGTGTTTGCCTAATGTATGTTTGCACATTGTAACGTATATGTGCACAAAACCTTTAAAAAAAGAAATAATTAAAAATTAAAAAAAATAAATAAATAAATAACTTCCACAAAACCTTCAAATAAACTTCAAACTTTATAGAATGTTTGGTAGCAGGATTTTACCTTAATCCCGACAAACAACAAAAATGACAACTTTAAATCCTATAAAATCTTAAATATGATATATCCCTCTTTGTCTTAAATCTCAAATTTAGTAAATCCAGGCCTAGTACACATTTAAATGCACAAGTTTCTCACGAACTTCATATATCTATCACATTCCTCACGAACTCCATATCTCTGTCACATTCACATGTTGTTGGTTCTATATAGGGGTGTAAGTGAGCCGAGCTAGCTCGAACTCAACTCGTTAATAAGCTCACGAGTCGAGCTTATCGATCCAGAAGTTCGAGCTCGAGCTTATGGTAAAGCTTGGCTAGGCTCGGCACGTAAGCTTGTCAAGCCGCTCGTTTAAATTAAAATATATTTAAAATCTAATTTAAAAATAATATAATAAAATATATACTAAATATTTTTAATTATTTCACGAGTCAACGTCGAGCTTTCTTAACAAGATCGAGACTAATAATTTTCGAACGAGCTGAGCTCGAGCTCAACAATGTTTAAACAAGCTTAACTCAATTAGGTATAAACTAAACTCGACTCGTTTACACCCTTAGCTCTATTGATGCCTTCTCTAGCGAGCTCCTATTTCAACTTGCTCGCTTATTTCAATTCTTTGTCATTGATGAAACACATTATATATATTTTTAATCTTAAAAATTAAAATTAATTAATCTTAATTGATATTATTTTTAATTCTTTATTTATTTTGTCTAAATAGTAAATATAATTATAATTTAATTAGTTTATAAACCACTGATTAATTATTAGTTGAGAAGTTTAGTTCGATTGAGTATTTTTTTAATTAGTCCACTTAAATTAAGTATAAGTAAATATAATAGAATATTCTTATCATACAAATCCTTAAATTATGAAACAAGTAACCTAATAGTATACCTGAATTTAACACATCATACCAAACAGTTTTTAGGATTTAACTCACCAAGGAAATAATAAATCCCGATTTAAAGTATTTACAAAATCCTAATGGTGTCAAATCCTATATGCAGCCAAACAACCCTTAAAAGTTCACTTTCCTATACACATACCAAAAACTTACCGATTTCTCAAAATTCACTGAACCAGAGTTGGTAGCAAAAATGGCATCAATCATGATGAGGACTAATGAACTCCAGTCATACAAGTAAAATTGCTCATATGAAAGTGAACAAGCATTGCACATATGAAAGTAAACTGAAATCCGCTTACACCAAAAATAGAAAGCAGGTGCAGAAAAATCTAAACCAATTTACTTGCAATAACACACCAATAGCCACTAAAACCATGGTCCAGCTAGTTTATCAGAAGCTCTTCCATCTTAATAAGAGTATTGCAGATTTAGGACATGGAATCAGACTATCACGCACCAATAAACCACCTGAATGAAAACCTACACAAGCGCTGGCCACTACAAACAATCGAATCAATAAATACCTCCCACTTACAGCAATGCAGACAAATTATCATTAGATCTCACAGCCAGCCACACAAAATCCCTAAAATCGACTATGTTTCTTCAATGCCAACAAAAACACCGATGCAACAATATTCCATCATTAAAGCAAGCCACGCATAATGAAAACTGATAAAAATGAAGAGAAGAGATTCACCGCTCAATGTCTGCCAATGCGACGACCTGGTAGCTCTGGCAGTAACCAGCCTCGTTTGAAAGTGCAGCAGCAGGAAAGCACCGATCAGAAAGGTGACTTGCCACCGAAACATCCTCCACGGCATCGTTTCGGATCAAAATTAGAGGTTTCGACTGAGAGAAACTGTGAGAGATGCAGAGAAAACAGTTGCCGGGCACGGTAGTCGGGATTTATAGAAGCAAATGTGCTATCGAAAGAAGGAGATGGGGCTTATTCCAGCTGTGATCTTCAGAACTAAGAGGCTTAGATTACTGCAATCAGTATTTTGGATTACATATTTTTAATTATAAGAGAAAGGGGTCATAATGGCCGTCGAAAAGGAGAAATGATTCTGGAAACGATCGCCACAAAATTGGGACACACAAAACGTACCATGAATTTCTCCTTGGGGCCTACCACAATTCGTGGGAATGGAAGGCGGGTGAGTTTTTGGGTATGAGTAGAAAATGTTTAGGAATTAGAAATTTCGCTTAATGTTATGGACGCCAGATGTGGAGGGAGTCTGAGCTCCCCCATGTGACTGTCGGAACGGAACAGCTGGAACCGGGTGATCGAGGTGGGGTAGGGAAGCGACATACGCCATTTGTGCGGAAGGCCGCATACGAACTCTGGTGCGGTTTGATTGATTTGATTTATCGGTCACATCAATTACTTTATATTCTAAAATTTATAATATTGAACTGAATCAATTTTTTTTCAAATCAAATTCAACCAAATTAAACTTTAACAGGCTTCATTTTGACTTTATAGTAAATAAATTTTTTATTCTTGAATTTATTTTATAGAAAATTACTTTAAAAAATAATAAAAAATATGGTTTCAAATCAATCTTAATTAGTTTGATTCAGTATATTTAAAAAATGTCAAAAATTCCTTTATAAAAATTAAAAAATGTTAATATGTGGAATAAATAATATTTTTGTTTATCTTTGTTTTACTTATTTATTATCACTTGTTATGTATAATTAACAAATTTTATTGATTTAATATGTCAATAAATTAATATTATTTAATTGATTTTATAGTAAATAACTTTGGGAAGGATTTTTTAAAGCTTTCTAAAACAGCTTTTCAAGTCAAAAAAAAATTTAACTATTATTTTTTTACTAAAAAATATTTTTAGAAACATTAAAAAAGTTGTCCCAAATGAAGCATAAATCTTATAAATTTTTGAAGTCCCCTGGGGATTGGTGCCACCCAACAACAAAAACTCATCGAGTCATCCAAAGATAAGGATCCTCCTCAATATATCATACTATAATGTGAACTCGCCTAGTAAAGTCTTAGGGCCTCTTTGACAACAAATATGATTTAACATAATAGGTTTTAGTAAATCTTGTAATTTTGAATTTAGTAAATTTTGAATTTGTTAAATCCTTAAAATTGTTTCCCCAGATAGGTGATAAATCTTGTTAAATCTTATGGATTTGTTTAGCGATGTAATATAGTATTTAAGGTGGTTAATTTATTTAAAAACTAAATTTATTTTATTTTGAATTCAATATACGTGTAAATATATGAGTTACTTATTAATTTTAGTTTTATCTATTAATTATCTCATTAACCACTTAAGTGTTCTACTACTCATTAATTATATAATTAATAATTTATTAGGTCAACTCCAGGTTGACCCATAAACCCGAAATCAACCAAAAAACCTCACATATGTACTCCATGTAGTGCTATCTTGAGTTAGCCTCATGACCCTCACGTACAAACTCTACAGTCCGCAACTCCGTACCTAGATTGCCATACACGCATCGCACTCGACCACTCGCCTCGCTTATGGACTCTGCACATCGCACCACATTTGATTGCTTGCCTCGCTTCCTGACTATGTAATCTGCACCCAGACGACCCAGACCTACACCACGCTCAGCTTGTCGGGAGCTCGCCTCGCATCCAGACTCTGTAGTTTTGGATCCCACGCTCGCCTCGCTTGCAAAGCCTTGTGTCCGGGTGCACGGGTTCAGTTGAGTCAACTCAAAAACCTCTTGGGTCGGGTTCAAGTTAACTCGTTTAAACCCAGTCCAACTTCGGGTTCAACATGAAACTGACTCGAAAAACATATTTTGACAGCCCTACATGAGAGGTAAGAATGTTGAATGTTAAAAAACTTCTTCACCTCCTTCGATGATGTTCCTTCCAGTCGGATCAAAAGTCACGATAGCTCGTCATTCTTCTTTTGGATCGGAAGTAATGAAGATGGTAAAGGGAGCTCCCTCATTGTGAAGATAAATCCCGTTAATTTGAGATTTTTTTGGGACATTTAGGTCAATTAAGGCAAACTCATACACACATCGCATACTCAAAAATTGGAATCCAAAACCTCTTAGTTGGCAGACTAAGCACTCAACCAACAAGCCAATGTGAGCTCTTAAATTTAGGATTTACCGCAAAAAGATGATAACAACCAATTTATTCCATCGTAACATTTATGCCGAGTTCAAATCCTATTTGACAAAATTTAAGCTAAATCTTGTTGTCAAACAGCCCCTTAAAGTCACCTACCCGTCCAAGAGAATGACTAGATCTCCATTATTCACTTATATAGTGCAACAGCCTCAATTCGAAATATATCCAAAGTTTTTATCCATTAGATAGTTGCGAGTTATAATCGAATGCCATATCACTAGCTACCCCTATTCTACTCTATTTCTTATAATTTTATCATGCTCCTCTCTCCAATGGGTTGGATTAATTATTATTTAATTTTTAAGGCATCTCATTAATTTCATAGAAATTTTTTATGTATAGAGATCATGAACCTTATTTTATTTTAATTATGGTTTAAAAAATAATTACAATTAATTATAAATAGGGTCATGATGATCAATCTAAATGATAGGTTATTATTTGTTTTCCTTAAACTATTTTGCTTATTGGTATGCTCCTCTTATTTTTGATCAATTAATTTAAAGTCTATAGTCAGCAAGTTACCATTTTTTTGTTATCGGGTTAGGTTCGGACTTTCGGTTTACCAATGTGTACGTCGAGTTCAGTTCATATTTTTGACATGCTTATTAAACGGGATGGGTTTGAGTCTACCAGTTTTAAATCGTGTCAAACTCAAACTTGACCCGTTAGCCCATTTGACACTCCTAAAGAACTCTCTCTCTCTCTCTTTCTCTCTCTCTCTCTTATATGCACACAAAATTGATGCTTTAGATGTGGAAGGCTGGAATTGCAATGAATACATCATGTATGACTAAATATTTTTAATGATCTATTATAAAATTTAGATGTGACAAATTTATTTTTTACCTTCAATTATTTTTCAAATATGTATGTAGAGTCCTATATTTTTGTAAGTATAAATAAATATGATGACGATATTGCATGTCTTCAGCAAAACCGCGAAAGAATGAATCAAATCAAATCAAAAAATCCGTAATAAAAAATGGACTCATTCAAATACAAATTATATTTATCAATAGTAATTTAAATATAATCATGATGTTTACAGTTAATTATGTAATTAATAATTAATTAAATGCATGAAAATGACTCCACATGTACATTATATATTCGTTAATAATAATTTAAATAGAAGAATGAGGACTTAGTAAGCTAATTGATTTTCAAATGCTTCGTCACCATCAAAGCTTCAAACGAGTTCAGTTTGTTTTTCATAGCCGGACCCAACTAATTAGTATAATAAGAGTTAAAAGGTCGCTTTAATGGGTTCAAAAATGGCTCATTTGTCATTCTCAGCCTAACCATTGCATAAATAAAATAAAAATAATAAATAAATATGAATTTTAACTATATAATGAAGATGAACATAATAACATTTCTACAAATTAAAAATTAGTAACAACCCAAGAAGAGTTTTTTTTTTTTTTGGAACGGGGTATTCACCTGTTGTCACTCCTGAAAGAGCGTTTGGCGGCGTGACTAATCCTCGGCTGACCTATAAGAAGCACTCACCCCAAAAACCTCCTAACCTGCACTTGATTGAGCCCCACTTAACAGGCGCTGACGCTCGAGGGGTATCGAGCAAGGGTTGGGGGGTTCCCAATCGTACTCGTCCACCAACCAAGCTAAGCAACGGTGGGTAACCCAAGAAAAATTTGACTGTTATAACTTTGAGCACCTTCGAAAGCTATCAATCCACTCAACATGTACGATGCATTGCGAAAATCGAGAACCCTACTGACACTCATTATTTTCCTATAAAGTTCAAGGCGATTTGAGGTGTTCTTTGTAGAGTAATATATGCCAAATAATTTTCCATATTGTAATATGTCTATTATTATACTCATTGAGCAAGATGTGTTCCTAAGGGCTACTAAGCACAATAGTCCCCTCTATATTACATTAGAAAGAAATAATATATAATCTTGACTACTAAATTTCAATTAATATCATATTCTTATGAATGTTGAGATGAAGGTTGTTCAATATCCAACATCCTGATCAGATGCAATGTCATGCTGAAAGGTTTCAACGAGCTATGTCCAAAGACCATAGAGTTTTCATCCTCTTACTCAATTTCGAGGATTTCTACGCTGGCTTGTGGATCTATATCAACAAATTCGACACCATATTTGAAATGGCATAACCTACAAATATGGAGTAGTGATGATTTGAAAAATATTATATTTTAAGTTATCATATTTTTCATAAAAAATGTTTCATATTATTATTTTGGGTAGGGAAAATTTTAGTAAGAGGTAAAAATTTAGCTAAGATTAAAGAAGTGACATAATGTTAGGGCCTAAATTTCAAATAATACACTTTGAAGCTTTTGAAACTTTCTTCTTCTTCTTCCCTGGATTGGGAAAATCGAAATCCTTCTTGCAGATCGAGTCTTCCGACGATCCACTACATCAGAAGGTTGTTCAATATCCAACATCTTGGTCAGGACAATGTCATGCTGAAAGGATTCAACGAGCTTTGTCCAAAGACCATAGAGTTTTTCATCCTCTAACTCAATTTTGAGGATTTCTACACTGACTTGTGGATCTATATCAACAAATTCAACACCAATTTTAAATGGCATAACTACAAACATGGAGTAGTGATGATTTGAAAAATATTATATTTTAAGTTATCATATTTTTCATAAAAAATGTTTCATATTATTATTTTGTGTAGGGAAAATTTTAGTAAGAGGTAAAAATTTAGCTAAGATTAAAGAAGTGACATAGTGTTAGGGCCTAAATTTCAAATAAAATAGTGACAAAGTATAGCTAGGAAAAAGTTTTGCACCGCAATATCCATGTCTGGTGCAATAGCCCGTATTTTGACTTTATCTGTTTTTTTCTAGAG